AAAATTCCTCCCGGGTGTCTTCAGAAGTGAGGCCCAGAATGACATAGGCCCGGGCAGGGTGACTCTGTCTGCTTCTGCGCTCGGCTCCCACGGGCGTTCAGCTCTATGCTGACTCTCAGCTTGAGGGAATTGCATTGAAATTGCTCCTGTTTCAGTCAAGGATGAAAGCCGGCAAGGATGAAAGCCGTCTAGGAAGCTGCGTTGAGGTTTCATCCACCACCCAACAGATAACAGGTTTTCTTTGAAACTTACATGCTGACAGTTTGCCTCAGGTTTTCAAAATCCCATAAAAATCTTGCCTGGGTATTATAATTCGGAACCCTCTCAAAGTGCCCGGGGCAGTATTTTGTGCCTAGCTTGTTGTGGCATGGTGTAGCTGCTATGAACACGGCATTGGAAGGCCCACGCGGTTTTGTCAGTGCAGAATCTTCCTTTTGTATCCCTTCTGCTGTGAAGCAGAAGGCATGGCTTCATGCACAGCTGACTCTTTAAATCCCCCTTCAAAGGGTGCATGTTGCCTTGAGAACTCTGTCCTGTTCAGTGTGGAAAAACCTTTGATATTTTATGGGCAAAAGTAACTAGCCTCACAGCTTATCTTTTAAAAATGCCTTTGATGGCTCTCCTGCTTTTTCTTTTCTACTGTGTCAGTCACCTAAAAATAAGCAAGCTTTGGGTAGAAACTATACTTTGTTGTATAAGAGACCTGAGCTGTCACAATCCTGCTTATCATCAGTAGATGCTTATTGGGAACTGTTGGGAGGGGCTCTCTAGGATGGCACAACAGGTTAAAGCGCAGCACTGTGAAGCTCTCCACAGCCACTGCAGCACGAGTTCAATCCCCAGCCAGGGAGCTGACCCACAGGGCACAGCAGACCTCTCCTGTTTCCCCACTGCTCCCCTCAGTAGTCTATTCCAGTCAGTCTGCCTGTTCTGTTCCCCATTCTACCTCTGGTGAATCCTCTCACCCACCGCACTCTAGTTCTTGTATGCATAAATAAAGAAATCTTTGAAAAAAAAAAAAAAAAACTTGAGTGAGGCCCATGGTTCATATGAAAGTGTGTGCTGGCATGGGCATAGTACAAACCCTGGTTTCACAGATGCTTTCTGTGGGACATGGGGCAAGGCTTTTTAGCCTCTGAAAGGCATAGTTTCCTCCTCTGTTCTTTACATCTTAGGATGACAAAGCGAAGATGAGCTGTTCTCTCTGGAAGGCCTGGCATGATGCGGTACCTGGCATGATAGGTCCTGTTATATTACGATCTCTTGGTACAGTCATTGGTGAGGAGGAGGGCAGACACTTAAGTGACAGTACTAATGGAAATAACAATAATAACGTATCAGACACTGTTCTGATTGCATCATAAATATCAACTCATTGAATCCTCAGACAGGCCTGTGAGGGTAGGTGCTATTATTATCACAGTTTACAACTGAAGAAACGGAGAGAGCTTAAGTAAATTGGCTCAGAGTCATACAGCTGAACTGCTAGTCAGCACTAGACCTAGATAGTCCATGACCTTCGCCACTCGGCTCTGTTACCTCTCATTACACACTTATGGCCTAATATTACCAAACTGGCTTTCTCAGAGGAAAAGGTGTGAAATAGACTCTCCCTGTGAGACAGCGTATCCAGTGTTCAGACAGGAATTAGGAGAGAAATTGAGGCTTGTAAAAAGCCAGTTTCCATTTGGGTTTCGATCTCAAGTCTCATCTAGAACTTAACCACCCTACCTTCCCCAAATTCAAGACCTATCAGTCATTTGAGTTCAGAATGGGTTTCAGGTGGTTCCTTTGCCTTTCGTAGAAGAATAGGAAGTGCCCAGTGCAGAAGATGCTACTCAAACCTTCAACTGTTGACAAAACTGGGCAGAAGTAGTGATATTCTTAAGGAAAGAGAAAGCAATTCTGTCTTCCCAAAGACCCAGGATACAGCCATAGCAGATGATACTACATGTGGCTTTCATTCAATTATTTTAGATCATTTTCATTTTGCACTGATAGAAACTACAAATGAAGTGATTCAGAACCCAGATGAATTCACAAATACACAAAATCTACAAAAACTTGTGATGTAAACTATAGCTTCTTTATAATTGGCCAGGAGTGTATAGTTTACAGGAGGAAAAAAGAGTTTCAGAACACTTAGGCTTGAAAGCACAGACCCATGGGTTTCATATTCTGTAGCTTGCTTTTGTGATGTTGGACAAGTGACTTTCCGCCAACCTTCGGGGGCCAGTCTGTTGAACGGGGTAACACCAGCGGCCTCCCAGAGTTGCTGGGAGGCTTCAGTAAGACCACGTGTGTAAATGCTTGATGCATAGTGGTCATGTGGTGAGCGTCATCACCACCTCAGACTTCAAGGAGAAAGAATGAAAATTACCGTTCAGAGACCAGCCATTTTAATCGAAAATCCCCAAGTCCCAAGAAACAGGAACGTAAATGCTGACTGGCAGTGTGTATGGCTTTGAGAGTGACACGGAGGAGGGGTTGAGGGCGACAGGATGCTTCCTAGTACCCTCCGTCCTCTAGTTTTCCAGCCACCGTTTCCCAGCCGCTTGCAGGGACTGGAAGGGAAAAGTGTGCAAAGGAAACCATCCTGAAATTTACTCTGATGCAGCCAGGCCTTGACTCCCAGGAACCAAGACAAAGGAGACTTAACTAACAATCCAGCTGCCAGGACTGCTCTAGAAGCACCGAGATCAGTAGGAGTAAGCGTGCCAGGTTGCAACATTACAGTGGAAACAGCCACATAAACAGGTCATGTCTGGTTTTGATTAAATTATTGCAGATGAAAGACCCATTGGAGATGCCAACAGTGTGTGGTAATTATAGTCCCCTCCCAAAAGTGACATGATAAGAAATTGGGGAACTTGCACATATATGTCACTTTTTTTTTTAATTATGGAAATAACCTTTTATTTATTACAGGACATTTGAAAATCAGAGAAAAACACTAAGGAAAAATAAAAACCCTCATTATCCCCACTACCCTGTGTATCCTCTAGTCACATTTTGGAAATTATCTTCCAGCCTTTTTTTTTTTTTTTTTACTTATGACTTCCCATAAATTTTCCTAATTGTTATCATCTTGTATGTATTGTGCCATAATTTGCTGTTTTCATAAAATCACATAAGCGTGTTTTATAAAATTAAATTATTTTTCCAACACCACTTGATATCTTCATGGTTTTCATAATATTTTGCCTAACTAGTGCCCTTGTGGTTTGATCTAGGTTGTTCCCAACATTCTAGCTGTCCCAAGAAAACCAAAGATTGTAACTAAACTATGTACCAAGGTCACTGTCAGTCCACAGAAATGCATGGTACACACTGTTGCTTTGAGGAGTTAGGGTAGGGCAGGCAAAGTGTTCTAGAAAGCAGTTCTCCATGCTCCGTTCTCCGTGCTCCACGTACATCTGGTCGGCTGGAGAGACCCACTGGCACGAGTGGGGAGTGGCGGCAGTGGGTGGGGAAGAGGAGAGAACACCAAGGAATCTCTCACCAATCCACAGTGAAAGCGTGCTCAGTGCAGCAAACAAGCTTGTTAACTGGCAAATGCTGATACTCCTAAGTCAGACAGTGAGGACCAAGAATTACCTAGAGTTCTATTCCTTTTTTTGCTTAATATTAGAAATTAGAATTTGTCGTGTTGACATGGAATACCTTCTTGATCTGAAAACAGTATTCCAGTGTTTAGAAAAACCGCGTACACTTCCGCACATGTTGACCTAAGTAATTGTGTTCGGAGCATTGCTGATAGAGTAAAGATTAAAAGCTGCCAATAGGGTTGAAAGGACTGGAGGTGTGTAAGAGCGCTGAGCGCTAGCAGGAGCACCATGAGAGGGCTCAGAGAGAGGGCAGTGGGCCGTGAGGTGGAAGGGAAACTACAGTGTGGGGGACGCACATGGCTGTGGGGGAGAATGATCTCAGTGAGTGAGGTGGTGCAGGAGGAGGACTGGCTGTGGATAATCAGGCTGGTGCAGGAGGAGGACTGGCTGTGGATAATCAACAAGTCGACAACATTTGAAGAACATGTCTAAAAACAGGTGCTCCTCCTGGGCGCCCTGCAGGGCCACTGATGCTTTCCTCAGCCCTCTTGACTTCTCTAGCCAAACGCTCCTCTCGCAGTCAAAACAGTGAGATGGTTTCTTGAATCTCGTCTGTGCTGTAACCACTACCAATGGGAGCAGCCCTCTGAATCTGATCACTGGACCTCCCGGGTGTTACCTGAGAAGATCAAGACGGTCATTTGGCTTGACAAAGAACTGCATGAATAAATGTATAAAATGCCCCGTTTTATTAAGAGGCGCCAGAACCCCCATGTGACTGAGGGAAGCTAGGAGTCCTAGTTTCCAGAGTTCCTGAACCCCTATCTCTCGTGTTTTCATAAATGCTCCAACAAAAACGTGAGTCAGCAGCCTTGTCTGTCACCATCACCCAGGAACCTGAGATGTATTTTGACATCACCTGCTTTTCAAAAATTCATTCTTAAATTTGGGGGCTGTCATGCTAGTAGAATTCTGAGCATACCTTGTTCCCGCTTATCTTCAGTTACCCACTGCCTTACAGTGATTGTTAGTACTTTGCAGGAGGCTTCCTCTGGAGAGGTACATTCCTAAGTATCTTCCTACCTCATGTCATTGTGACAACTGTTGCCCAAGGTGTAAGTATTCCTGCAGGACACATTAGGAAACAGGTCTGAGAAGCTGGGTTATCTCCTCCTACCTGAGAGGACTAATAGTAGTTACGAGTGAGTGCAACACGTCTCCCTCTCATCCTGTTTTGAGGAGCAAAACCAACCAGAATAATGGGACGGACACGTATATGAAATACTATGGAAAAACCCAAATTCTTCATCTTGTGCAGCTAGTTCTTCAAGAGAGAGGCTTCAGGATTTTCCTAGAGTTTTATGAGCTTTTTGCCAGTGTGTGGTTTTTTTTTTACATGTCAAATTCACTATTTCAGAGCTTCCCCCTCCTCCTGCCCCTTTGATCTTCCAGGCCCTCAGTACCGCCTGGAAAAGCAGAGCGAACCCAATGTCGCCGTGGACCTGGAGAGCACGTTGGAGAGCCAGAGCGCCTGGGAGTTCTGCCTGGTCCGCGAGAACAGTACGTTAGCCTCCTTGTTCCCACCTGCTTGGTCCTTCGCGAACCAGCTTGTAAGGCCTGTGTTTGGGAACACGCGCTGGTCTGGCTTCCCTCGGCAGACTGGAAGTGACTACTTTTTCCCAGACAGACCGCAGCCTCCCGCCAGAAGTGTCCCAAAGGGAAATGATTGATTTTGTGCTTTTGGCAAAGCGTCTGCATCCTGTTTAGCCCTCTGTGATGAATCCTTTCCTATTAAAAACTCTTGTCTTCGAAGTTAGGAGCTGCCCTGGAAACGGCTTAGAAATGGGAGGCCTCTTCGAGGCAACAGCTATTTTGTATATAACGCAACTGGCCCTGTCAGTAGCACTGCTGAGACATCAGGTTTGAGGAAGTTCAGGCCGTTTAAATATCCTCAGCAGGAGGCGGGTGCTGGTTCCTCGTGCTGTCCGAGGCCTTTCTCAAACTGCAGTTCATTTCTTTCTTTCTCTGCCTTCCTCTCCTGTATGTTCCCGTGACTTCAGGGCAAGCCCACCGCCCTGGGCATCCCTGTGCGGGGCTCTCACACGGGCTGTGTCCTCTGCACGGACTCTCTGCCCCTCTCTGCCGGAACTGCTTTCTCCTCCTCTTCTCAGTTTAAATGTCACACCTCGAGAGAGGCCTCCTCCTAACCCTGAGCCGCCCTCGTCTGGCTCCTTCCTTTGCGCTCCATCAGAGAGCGTGTTACTGTTTCTCTGCTGCATGCATTTCTGTTCTCAGTGACTGCTTGGGGTGTCTCTCCCGCACGTCCCAGACGCGCCCCAGGGTGCCCCCCTTTAGCATCAATCACTCATCCCCAGCATCCCCAGCCAGCCTTGTCCTGCATATGGGAAGTCCGTAGTGAATTGTTTCAAATGTTTGACTCTTTATTTACAAATATCAAAATGATATTTATGAAGGCCCTGTACCCTTTTTTGATGGGTAGCACTTAAACAGGTAAAAACATTTCAGGTGACAAAATGTAGCAGAAATTTCACCTCTCATCTCTCCTGTAGTTCCTTTCCAGGTGTTCCCAGTTTCTGCAGTGCCTCGCCCAGCAGGTCTCTGCTGAGGCAAGCACGTTCTGTGTACGCATGTGGATATACCGGATATACCCACACGTTCGCGTATACTGACACACACGCGTGCACACACATTGGCATTCTCCCTTTAAAAGCAACTGGTAGCAAGCTGGCATCAGTGTTCTGCATTTTTCTTTTTCAGCTGAACTAATGTCATAAAGACTATTCCACATTAGTCTACATATTATTCTACATGTAGTTTATTCTTTTTAAGGTAGTGCATAGCATTCCACAATATACTATGATTTCAAATTACACACTCGGTTTTTTCCCCAAAAAGATGTGACCCAACTTTCTTACACTCAAAATACAGTTGTGAGGACTGGTAGATAAAACTTTGATCTTGGGCTCGTATTTCCCACCCGACTTCTCAGCATGAGCATAGACTTAATTTCAGACCTCTTACACCTCAGTCTTCCCATCTTAAGGGATTTGTAGGAGATGTCTAGTACTCACACTATGAGTTGAAGTAACTGTGTTCGTGAAAGGAGACCTTACCAGCATTTACAGAAGGCACAAGGCAGTTGAGGGTTTGGAATCAAAGGAGTGTTATAACTAGTCTTTGTAAAATAGAGGTACACTATAAATCCATTCTTTTTATTAAAACAGAAGTTTTATAAAATTTCAATAGAAATTCCACGAATCCCCAGTGCTACCTATTAAGACATTGACTGAGATGGATATTTCAAAAGTAGTCTCTGCTCTTGTGTTGGTACCTGATCAGGATGGGCTTGCTGTCCTGAAACCCATTATAGATGCAATTATGAGCTTATCTTATGCAATATTTAAGAGAATTTCTGTGGAGACAGAATCTGGGGTTCGCGGAGGCTCTGACACTCACTGAGTGACCTTGGATAACTTAGTTGACTTCTTTTGAGTAGTTTACCTGCCTGGCTGAGGTTAATAGGAGTGTTGGGTGAGTTTTAAAAACCACAAAGCTCTTAGAACAGTGCTTGGCATGTAATAACCACTCAATAAATGTTAATTATAATAAATAATGAAAAAGCCACATCCTGTGTCTGGTAGCAGGTGGGACACAGGTGTGGATACTTGGAATCATAGAACTTTTGGTACCTCAAGGAGGTGTGTGGTGGAGCAGAGGGATGCAGGTGATGAGGAAAAATGAGGGCAGGAAGGGAGGCGAGTCCAGGGTTGTGTCACAGAACCAAGGAACTTAGAACATGGTACTTTCTAGCAAGTGTGTTTGGTGTCCCAGAAGGATATATGCCTTATAAATAGAACTATTTAATTGGGAAAGCTGCTGTAAGAATGGATATAGCCGTTTTGTTTTTCTCCTAAGGAGGGGCAGGGCATAATTCTTTTTAGATCAACCACACCAAAAGATGTTTTTAAAACTATTTATGCAGGCCTACTGTTGGAAAGCTATAAACATCTTCTCAATGTTCTCGCTTGTAATTTTCACAGCCACCCTGTAGGGTGTTAGTCTGATTGTGGGGGGAGGCTGTGACTTGCCCAAAATGAGCTAGCCAGTAAATGATAGGAACCTCAACTCTAAGCCAGCTACCTGATCCTCAAACCCACCCTGAGGTAGTGGATGAAAACGACCTAAATTCTCAATCCTAAGAATGCCAATGCCAATTGCCTTTATATCCGATGACTGAGGTGCTCACAGATGAAACCAGCAGACAACAGTTCCTGTCTGGGGACTGCGAGCTAACACTTGTGCTTGGATCATGGCCTAAATAAGAGAATGACAAGCCAAAGTCCTTGAGCTTTCCAGTTTCGATTCTTGTCTGATAATCTACGACATCCTTCAGCCAACTGTCTGTGCAAAGCTGGAGTCAGACCAGAAGGAAGCATGGGTACATTATGGCAAGTATGTAATGTTAGCGTTCCATTCTTTCCAAGCTTCTATATAAATCCTGGCACTAAACTGAGCCTCAGCTTCCTTTTCTCCAACTGTTCTCGGGACCTTTTCCCTTCCCCACCCAGGTCCCCAACAGAAAGAGGCAGCATGAACCAAGTTGTTCTTTCCACAGCTCTCAGAGAGAATACTGGAAATTTCCCATTAGCGGGGGCTAAAGCAGACCTGAAATTCAACTGGCTTTGTGGGACTCCAGGCCCATGCAGACACTGCCTTTCACTCGCAGTCTACCTTTGTAGTGACAGCGTCGTGCTTGACGCGGCCTTGAGAATCAGGTAGAGCTGGGTGAACCACTGTCGCCTGTGGCATTGGGTCAGTCTTGCCCCTCTCTGAACCCCTTCCTGTGTTAATGGAGGATGGACTCCATGTAACAGGGTCTTGTAAGGATTAACTGAGATGCAGGTGCTGCCATGATAGCGACCTTTTAAGCTGGGATGGTCACCTTTATCTTACAAAAGAAGAAACTGAGGCTTAGAGGGGTTTCTGGTTTGCCAGTCATAGGAATTCCTACTCCATGTCTCTGCCCATTAAGTCTGATGAAAAAGTGGGATCTAGTTATTTGATTTCCTAAATAGAAGTTGCTGGAGGAAGGGGCTTCAGTTGTTTTTTAAACATCACATCAGCCTCCTTTGATCTCCTCTCCTCTTCAAAGAGATTGTCCATTATTTCAGTACCTTAGTGAAGTTTGCAGTTTCCTTAAGTCGTGTCTGTGCTGAGGAATAGCCTCGGCTCCACGTGAGCAGTCAGCCTAGGTGGGCCGTGGCCCGGAGGCCTCGCCCTGGCGCAGACAGTGGGAGCCCACTTCTACCTCCTCCAGTCCCCCTGGAAGACCTCAGGGTGAGGCAGCGCCTCCCTGAAGCCTGCCAGACCACCCAGTCGTTGGGCTCTGAGCCAGCCCCTGCACCATGATGCCGGCGCAGCAGCAGGGAGCCCCCACAGACACAGCTGTCGTGAGAGGAGTGCCACTGAGGGGGTGAAAATAGAAGGCAGGGGTCTGGCGCTGGTAAGAGGAGGAGAACGCCCCGGGGGGAATAGGGAGGAGGTAGTCAGATAGTGAGTAAAGCGGCAACTGTCCAGGCCTAGGGACGATGTGGCACGTTGGGGGTAAGCAGATGGCGTGGCAGGGTCAGGGCTGAGGAGGGGAGGCCGCAAGGAGGCAGGTCACCCTGCAGAACCCACTGCCCACCCCTCTCTCGCTGCTCGCTCTACATGGGGGTCTTGTGCTCTCCCACACTGGGCCCCCAGCCCCGAGGGCAGGGACCAGGTCTGCGCCCCACAACCCAGTGTAGCTCATGCCCTCGCCAGGCTCCTGACCGGGGCTCCCAGCGGTGATACACAGTGACTTTTAACAAGAACTTGGGGTTTGGATGAGCGCTTTCATGAACAGGGGTTTTTGGTAGTTCTTGGGGTTCCCCCCACCACCACCACCACCATCATAATACTACAAATTAAAGAAAGGAGAAGTGGGGAAGGCAACTGCAACCAGACGCGTCTGCTCACCCCCATGTGTCTCCAGACCCTCGTCCCGGGCTTGCCTACAGTGGGCTCATTCTTCCTCCTGGATGTGCTCTGTGCCAGCCCTGACTCGCTGTGGCTCTGCCAGCTTCTGGCGGCTTTGCCTTCTTCAATTACAAATTACTGAGCTCTCCAGTTTCTTAACTACCAAGGCTTTAAGCCTCTTTTCTATACCTCAGCAGCAGCAGTCTTAAATGCAAGGTAAAATGGGATTGTGCACAAAAATGTTTCCAAATGGAAATGATTTGTGTCCGTGGTATATATTTTTAAGCTGAGTTGCCGCTGAAAGCCAGTGTCTGGCTTTGGGGGTGCCGGGCGAGAGGGAATCTTCATTAGGGAGTACTCATTGTAAGGAATTTTCTGTGTGGGTGAGGGTTGTGAGGGTTTTGCAAGTAGGTATCGGTGAGAGCGCCCTGCTTGCTGCGTGCAAACAGAATTTAAATGACACACTTTTAAGCCCAACATAAACTGGGTCTCCACCTCCTGCTGACTGGTCAGGACGGGCTGGTTGGCAGTGTGTTGTG